GTGTAAGAATGAAAGCAAAGAAAAACACTAAGTTGGCTCAAATAATATGTCCCCTAAGAGCACTTGCTTGGCATTGTACAACTGAGAGAATTTCATTACCTATTACTCTGGGGGAAAAAAAAGCAAAAATTCCTTAAACTCAGATGTCTGAACAAGTTGGCCCAGAATTTCAATTCAAAGGCCAACTAAATATCACAAATACGCTTTCTAATTTTTTCCTATTTTTAATAACAAAGGAGTTTTCCTTTTTCCAGTGCCAAAAGCAAAATTAGCCAGAGTTAAGTATAAAGGATTTTGAGATGGAAAACGAAACTGAGTATCTGGAACAAAAAGTGGGAAGTTCATTTCTTATAAGAACATAATTGATTAAAAACTCCAATATCTACTTAAATCTACAGTGTATGTGCTCATTGTTGGTAGGACATTAACTGCTTGCATTCGGTTTTTATTATAAGGTAAGAGTTAATGGTCTTAAGATGATGAAGTTGTGAAGTTAAATCAAAGGCACCAAATCCAAAGGAGGCTGTCATAACCACTTTCACATTCCTTAAAAGCTTTGGCATTTTCCTGAATTTTACCATGCAAATGTGACAAAACCATATACTACTTTTGCCACAGAGACAAAAGCAATTACTCCATTAAACAGTAACATTTTAAAATGTGAGGTAACAAAATAAAGATTTACCTTCAAGGACAATCTTGAAGGTAAGAAGTGGCAGAAAAATTCTTATTTTTAAAAAAGAGAAAGCAATCCCTTTTAAGCAGTCTCCAAAGAACAAAAGACAGACTATTTTGGAGCCTTGCTCTGGACTTCAACTTGATGTAGTTATCAACAGACAAAAGGATGGCAATACACAAAAATGTAATTCTGTTTAAAGACAGATGTCGTGTGGGGGCCACTCACTCAACTTTAATTTACAAATGCCAAATTCATCTTTATACGTTCAAGAGAAAATTTTAATTTGGATTGTATAATATTCATCTATAAGTATGAAGGTTTGCAGGAAGGCTGACAAACCAGCATCATAAATTTTTCTCACTGGAATTAAGTATCAACTCATCTGGCCAGTTAGAAAAGTTAAAGGGTAGGACATATATGTAGGTACGCAGAGAATAGTTACCTTCAGCTGATTATTGAAAATATCAATCTCCTGTAGTTTTGATCTGGTTTCTTTCTCAACTTCATCCAGTTGGTCTCGTAGCTGCTGCCGAGCTAGCTCTTTTGCTTCTAATGCTCTTTTGAGTGTAAGAAGTGAATCTCCTATTTTAGAAAAACATTGCAAGGTAAGAAAAGCAAACTGGCAGTGAGGAAAATGGTTTTTAATGTTCTCATTTCACCGAGGGCAAGGCATGCCAGTAGAAGAGGAAAAGGGCGACTTTAAAAAGCAACACCTACTGTGCAAACTGTTCTGCTGAACTTGTTTGAGTTGGTCATTGAGTATCTGTTTTTCTGGAATAAGTCTTCCGAGCATTTGCTGAGCCTCCTAGGAGAGAAGGAGGAAAACAACAATGAGCTGACATGAATGTAGCTACCATGTCTACATTCCACATCCAGGCAGACTAAGTCTGTTTTCTCGTCCATCAAAGACTCATCTAATCTCACCCCAAATCCTCTATGTAGAAACTGCATTTAATCACCAGTCAGGGCAACATTTGCTTTTTTGCCAAGCAATTAACTATTTGCCAAATGCTTTTCACTGAAATAAAGTCAAGACAGTTATAGCTCTCTTGAGATTTAAATTTTTGTTGACTTACTGCCTATTTATAAGCTTTCAAAAATGTACTTTAAGTACAACTCAGCAGAGAAAACTGAAAGTATTGATCTCTCCCTTGCACTGGGATCAAACGTAAATGCAGTTGATTCTATTGTTTGCAAACTGACTAATTTGAACAGGAACTACTCTACTCTGAACTTCGATACTTAATAGGGCTGAATTAAGGCTTACCATACACTTGAAGATGGAAATAGAAATCAAGAAGAGATTTCTAGGGGCGCCTGGGTGGCTAAGTCGTTAAGCCTTTGGCTCAGGTCACGATCCCAGGGTTCTGGGATCGAGCCCCGCATGGGACTCCCTGCTCAGCGGGAAGCCTGCTTCTCCCTCTCCCACCCCCCCACCCCCCGCCCCACGGCTTGTGTTCCCTCTCTTGCTGTCAAAAAATAAATAAAATCTTTAAAAAAAAAAAAAAGAAGAAGAGACTTCTAACGATAGAATCTTGGCTGCCGTATATGTTTTTCCAACACTGAGGAAGGACCTATAATTTTAAACAGATACACAAAAGTCTTAAACCAACTATTTCTTACCTGATATAAGAAAAAAGCTAACCCACACTGTGAAAGGCTATTTGGAGTTTTCATGGATGACCTGTCAAGCACTGTATTTGCTTAAGTTCAGCTGAGATTATCCTATATAGTTTCTACACATTTTGGTAAAATGACAGCCTTTCTGGTGCAGAATAACAAACACTTGACTCTCATTTTTATCTTGATTTAAAAAAATCTCATTAAGGGGGCACCTGTGATGAGCACTGGGTGTTGTATGTAAGTGATGAATCACTAAATTCTACACCTGAAACTAATAGGCATTGTATGTTAACTAGGTGGAATTTAAATAAAAACTTGAAAAAAAAATCTCTATGTATTGATTTTTGGTTTGAGAAAATAAAAATGCCTTAATTGAAAATTTTTATCAGAGGCTAAGAAGCAGTCCTTTTTGGAACAACTATCCTTCGATACAGACTGGCTTATATGCAATAAATCTTTGTGTGCCACAATTCTGAATAGGAGAGAGATATAGTTCAACAGAAAGGATCTGGAAGCATCGTCTCATATGAACAATCCACACTCGTTTCCCCAAATCTGGACAAAACAGAATATACAATTCAGATTGTTTCCCCAAAAAGGCCCAGCCAACTGAGCTTCTCCTATTCTCCTCCCTAAATTAAGGAAAGGCCTCTTAGCCAATGCAAAAGTTTCTTTCCTGTACCAAGACAAACAATGACACATCAAGATAAAACCTAGCTCAGATCACTGAGACTTATATAAACATCACTTTTAAATGCCAACCTAAGTTTCTAAAATAAGTCATAAACCAACATGAAGGGCTACCTGACTCATCTGCACAGCAAGTATCTGTGTAACAGTAAGGAAAAGGAACCAGTATCTCACAGCCTATGATGTACCTGGCCTTCTTCAAGCCATGTATTATTTTTCACTTCCCTACTCTTTCAGGAACCCTAATTTGTATTTTATTATCAGTAAGTGAACATACTGTCAATCTTAAATAATAAAAAATGTGTTTGGTCACAGGGCATTCAGTGAGATAATAAACACGTCGCCTTCACTCCTAAATTTTCCAAGAGAATATTTTATGAAACTTCTCGTAGTTAATGAAAGACATAAAAAAAAGTTACCATATAGAGGAATATACTTTTAAAAGGTACATGCATTTTTTAATATGTTCGAACAATTTCTAGCTGTGAACATCCGATAATATTTACAGTATAGGTCATATCTTAATATCTCAAATTGACTAGGACTTCAAAGTACATGAAACAATAACTGACAGAACTGGAAGGAAAAAGGAAAAATTTACAATGATAGGGCTTTCAACATCCTCTGGCAGCAGCTGGAAGAGGTCACAAAATCAGTAAGGACAGAGAAAACACAAAAAAACACCATGAATCAATTTTCTCTGATTGATGTTTATGAGATACTCCACCCAACTACAAAAGAGTACATATTATTTACAAGTGCACATAAAATATTCACCAACACAATCATATGCTAAGCCATAAAGTAAGTCTCAGTAAACTTAAAAAGATTAAAAAGAATTGAAGTCATACAGAGTATGCTTACAGCTTATAACATAAATCAGAAATCAGCAAGACATCTGAAAAACAATCGAAATATTTGGAAACTAAATAGTATAATTCTAAATAACCCAAAGAAGAAATGGCCAGGAAAATCAAAAAAGATTTTGAACTGAATGGATACAAAAACACATTAAGAAGTTGTGTGATATGGCTATGACAATGCTTAGAAGGAAATTTATACCTTAATAAAATATTTACATCAGAAATGAGAAAAGGTCCAATTCAATAATCTAAGCTTCCTTTTTATGAAGCTAGAAAAAAGCAAATTAAACCCAAAATAAGTAGGTGGAAGGAAATAATAAAGAGCATAAGTAAATGAAACAGAAAACAGATATAGCATAGAGAAAAATCAATACAACCAAAAGCTTATTTAAAAAAAAAATCAATGAAATCAATAAACTTCTAGCTATATTGATGGAGAAAAGGAGGAGGGGGAAGGAGAGGAAGGTAAAGAAGAGGAAATGTTGAAGGGGGAAGGAGATACAAATTCCCATGATCAGGAAAGAAAGAAGTGACATCACTACAGATACTACAGACTTGCAAAGAACTAACAGAATATTGTAAATAACTCTATACAAATAAATCTGACAATTTAGATGAAATGAAAAAATTCACCATAAGATACAAACCATCAGACTCAAGAAGAAACAGAAAACCTGAACACCCCTATATCTACTAACTACATTTTGCTATTAAAATCCTACCACAAGAAAGACTCCAGGCCCAGATGGCTTCACTGATGAATGAAAATTTAAAGGAAAAATGCCATTTCAACACATTTTTAGAAAATGGAGGAGGAAGGAATACTCTCCCACTATTTTCTTATTTATTACCCTGATACCAAAACAGGATAAGGACATTACAAGGAAACTATAAACCAGTATCTTTCAAGAATTTAAATTAAAAGACATTTAATAATAGCATACTGAATCAAGTAAAATATTTTTTTAAATGGTAAGACACCATGACCAAGTATGGCTTATCTCAGGAATGGAAGGTTGGCTTAACATTCAAATTTCAATCAATGTAAATTACCATATGAACAAAATAAAGAGAAAAAACATGTAAACATCTCAGTAGATGCAGGGAAAAAAAAAAATTATGACCCAACTCAATACCCATTCATGATTTAAAAAACCCTCAGCAAAAAAGGAACAGGAGGAAAATCCCTAACTTGATAAAGGGCATCTAAAAAAAAAAAAAATCTATAGTTAACATCATACTTAATGGTCAGACAATGAATGCTTTCCCCTTAAGATCAAGTCTCTTACCACTTCTAGTCAACATAGTACTGAAGCACTCACACACTGCTGGGGAGAATGTAAAATGGTACAACCACCTTGGAAACAGTTTTGACAGTTTCCTATAGGGTTAACCATATATTTATATGACACATTAATGCCACTCCTAAAATTAAACCAAGAGAAATAAAACGTATTTCCACATCAAGACTTGTAATTAAATACTCATTGCAGTCTTATACACAAAGTCCCAAACTGGAAAGAACCTCACTGTCAATCAACAGGTGAATGGCTAAACAGGGAAATACTACTCAGTGATAAAAAGGAACAAACTACTGATTTGCTCAGAAATATGGATAAATCTCAACATCATCAGGCTGAGAAAAATCACAAACTTCAAAAATGGTCATCTTTCATGGTGATATGCAGAACAGTACCTACATGAATTTGATGCTTCCCACCTCCCAGCCCAACAAGTGAAACTGAGCCAGGTGATATTATGGCAACTTGGTGGTCAACTTTGGATACATCATAAAATGAAAGTAGAACTGCGTATAGCATCCTATTATGTTCCCAACTATTCGCCATCCATCTATCTCTGATACTCCCCCTAGAATACTGAACTGCACCTCTTTATTGCGATGATCACAGTAAAGCCAGTCTCATGAGTGAACTACAGGTCCTCCACAATCCAGTCCCTGCCAACTGCAACCACATTGATCTCCTTGCTATATCCACATCCCAAACACGGGGTACAACGTCACAACATTCACGCTGCTGCCTCCCCACCCTCCCCTTGCTCTGCCAGATAGCCACACCACTTAGCTGCTTCTCTTTCAGGTCTTTGCTCAGCTGGGACCCTCACCAAGAAGCCTGCCCTCACCACTTAATTTAAAATACTGTGCTCGATGGGGTGCCTGGGGGGCTCAGTCGGTTGAGTGTCCGTAACTCTTGGTTTCAGCTCAGGTCATAATCTCGGGGTCATGAGACCGAGCCCTGTGTCAGGTACCATGCTCAGTGGGGAGACTGCTTGAGAGTCTTTCCCTCTGTCCCCACCCCTAATGAATGAAGGAACAAATAAATGAACCTTAAAAAAAAAAAAAAGTAAAAATACTGCCCTCGGGGCACTTGGCTGGCTCAGTCAGTGGACTGTTCAACTCTTGATCTCAGGGTTATGAGTTCAAGCCCTATGTTGAATGTCAAAATTACTTAAAAATAAAATCTTAAAAAAAAAAAATCTACCACCCTCCTTCTCCCCAGGACTGTTTTCCTATTCACTCTCCAGAGCACTTTTCATACTCTAATATTGGACACACTTGACCTTTTTTGTTAGTGTCTGTCTGCCCACAAATAGAAGGTAAGCTCCATGAAGGCGGGGTTCTTGTATCTCCTGTTCACCACTGGACCCTCAGTGCCTCCGAGAGCCCCTGGAGGGTACACAGCAGTGCTCAAGCAAACGTTGTGCTGAGTTCATTTACTCGACAGCCTACTTTCCAGACTTTTGTCTACTTCATCTTCGCTTCCCAGCACCTAGTACATGGTAGATGCTGGGTGCTTTTAGAAATGAATGAGAGGAAAAGCAGGGCTTGTAACCCTAAAAGCATTTAAGGCATGTATTTTCTCACCTGTAATTGTTGCTGTAGGTGGGTGATTTCAGCAATTCTCAACTCTCTTGATTTGTTTGTACTCTCGATTTCTTGCCTTTGTGTGGTCAATCGACACCTGATATCTTGAAGTTTTCCTTCTAGTTGATGCTTTTTATCATTCTTTAACAAGTGAAAAATAATTATTATTATTACCATTTTTAATGGTTCAGAGTTAGTAAACAGTTGACCCTTGAACAACATGAGTTAGAACTACACGGGTCCACTTATACAGGGATTTTTGTCAATAAATAACAGTACACTACTGTAAATGTATGTTCGCTTCTTTATGACTTTATTAACATTTTCTTCTAATTTATTGTAAGAATACAGTATATAATACATATAACATATGAAATATGTGTCAATTCACTTTCTACGTTATCAGTAAGGCTTCTGGTCCAGAGTAGGCTACTAGCAGTTAAGCTTTAGGGGAGTTAAAAGTTACACAAAGCGTTCTGACTGCACAGGATCTGCGCCCATAAGCCCCATGTTGTTCAAGGTTCAACTGTATTCCCAAAGCATAATCAAACTCGACTCACTAGAGCTTCTAATTCAAATTCCAGAGTCTTTTTCTTTGCTTTCAGTACAACTATGTCTTCTTGTTCTTTGTTTCTTTGATTGAGTAGTTCTTGTCTTCGATTCCGTTCCCATTCAAGTTGTCGTTGCCTTTCAAGTTCTCGCTTTGCAGCCTGTGGCATTTACGAACAGATAACTTATTAATTTTTTTATTCCTGACATGACACAATGTCTCTTAATAAATGTAACATCCAGGAAGTCTTTTGTTTTAGGGATAAAATGTTACACATTGCAAAAGCTTCTATTACAAAACAGCAAAACACAATTTACACAAACATAGTATTCCTTCTATGGCAAAAAAAGAATATTTAGAAAAGCTATTATAGTTAGATAAGGTGGGGACAGACAGGATTCATTTCATCATTGAATCTGATTGTTTATGCCTTCAAGAATGTTTGAAGTGATAAAAAGAAAACTGTTCTTCCTCATTTACTGACTCATGAAGAGCAAGAAAAATGTCTTTAATCTAGTCAACTAAAATCCCAGAATAAAAAAACAAAAACAAAAAATACCCCCAAAACAAAAACTTTCTTCTATCAAATGAGAAATTACTCATCTCAAGTTTTAAAAGTTTGTTGATTTCCCCCACCCCCCCCATCGTTCATTTCCTTTTTACCACAGAAGCTTCCATAATTTCTGTGGCAATGACCACTCTCTTTTAAGCGGACTCTGATGGCTGCTGGGAAAAGTACACATCCAGAGCACCTGGCACTCTTTTTTCCTTTCTTTTTTTTTTTTTTAAAGATTTTTTTTTATTTTTGAGAGAGAGAGAGCATGAGCAAGGGGAGGGGCAGAGGGAGAAGCAGGCTCCCCGACTTGGGGCTCGATCCCAGGACCTGGAAATCATGACCTGAGCGGGAGGCAGATGCTTAACCGACTGAGCCACCCAGCGCCCCCACCTGGCACTCTTTATTGTAATTACTTCTTATGTACCTGTCCTCCAACTACCCTTTGGGCCTGAGGACAGTGAAGTACCTATCTACAAGTACTCTACAAACTATGGATGCCTGGCACATGGTAAATGACTATTAAGTAATTCTGAATAAATACTCCAAATTGTCTTTAAAAAATCAAAACAGAGCAAAACATTGAGAAAGGGAAAGTGGTCTATCTTTGGTTGTCCATTCTGGGAATTAAAACCCTGTTAGTATCTGTGTGTGTCTCCCTGAATAGGAAGGCTTACTGCTCTAAGTTTTCTGGGGCAACAACAGGAGATGAAACCAAAGTATTGTGTTTTTTATAAAGAAAAATCTCTCATATGTAAAATATATTTCATTCACACAAGAGAATCATGGCACTGGTTCTGCAGCAATATTCTAAAGTTGGAAATTCAGACGAAAGATTGGCTTAGCCCCTATCCAGGGATGGCACCAAATTTATGAGGTCTTCCCTCAAATATACTGAAGATTTCCTATACGTATTTTTTTTTTAAAGTGGAAAAAAGGGGGCAGGGAACAATATAATTAGTATGATCCCATTATAGGGGTGAAAAAAATTTTGCACTAAACCCCCAACATCTCCACCAGATAACCTTTAATATTTCTACATACATATATAAATGTAGAGAAAAAAAGTCTGAAAAAAAAATTTTTTTTAATTTTATTATTATTATTATTTTCTTATTTGACAGAGAGAGTGAGAGCAGGAACACAAGCAGGGGGAGTGGAAGAGGGAGAACCAGGCTTCCCGCTGGGCAGGGAGCCCGATGTGGGGCTTGATCCCAGGACCCTGGGATCAAGACCTGAGCCAAAGGCAGATGCTTAACGACTGAGCCACCCAAGCGCCCCTGAGAAATTCTTAACTAGTTATCAGTGGTTTGGTAGGAGACTGTATTATCAAAAGCCTGACCGTGAATGTTCTTAGCAACATCATTCATAATAGTCAACAAATCCGAAAACACCTCAAACGTCCATCAACTGATGAATGGATAACTATAATGTGGTCTGTCTGTGTCATGGAATATTCTTCGGTCATAAAAAGGAATGAAGTACTGATAACACGCTAAGTGGAAACAAGCCACAAAAGGTCAGACGTCGTATGATTCCATTTCTATGAAATGTCTGCAAGACGCAAAACCGTAGAGACGGGAAGTCAGTTAGTGGCTGCTGAGGGCTGGGGAGTAACTGCTTTATGGGTAAGAAATTTCTTCTTGGGGTGAGGACAATGCTCTGGAATTAGATAGTGGTGGTGGTCGCAGAACTCCGTGAATAAACTAAAACTAGCGAACTATAAAAAGGAAAAGGGGACCGTGTTAATTGATTACTTGAATACTTAGGGAAGAAGGGCGGCAAGAGCACATGTGCCCATCGTGGGCTCCACAGCGGCTTACCTCGCGCCTCTCGATTTCCTTCCTCCTCTCCTCCTCTCTCTGGCGTTCCAGTTCCCGCTGCTTTTCCAGCTGCTTCTCCAACTCCAGCTGCCGCTTGCGCTCCTGCTCGTGGCGCTCCCGCTCCTTCCGCTCCTGCTCAGCGCGCTCCAGCTGCGCCAGGCGCTCGTGCTCCTTCCGCTGTTGCTCCAACAGCGCTTGTCTCCGCTTCTCCAGCTCCAGACTGCCGCGCTCGAAATTCTCACGCTTCTTATCCTCAAACGTTACTTGAAAACGAGAAGCAGGAAGACGCTGGAAAGTCATGATTTGCAACATACTCTTTTCAAAGGAAAATTCAGGCACCTTGGAAAGGTGGAGTATAAACGCAAAGCAGAGCTCCCTAAGCTTCCGACCTGCCCATGCCTCATGCAGAAGCGCCACGACACCAAGAAACTTTTATTTTTTTTGACAGCAGAAAACGTTTAGAACAAATAATTGAGTAAAACTGCAGGATACAAAATCAATATACAGAAATTGGTTGCATTTCTATATACTAATAATGAACTATCGGAAGGAGAAATTAAGAAAACAATCCCACTTAGGATGGCATCAAAGAACACAAATTAAAACCACAATGAGATACCAACTCAACACCAGTCAGAATGGCTAAAATTAACAAGTCAGGAAACGACAGATGTTGGCGGGGATGCGGAGAAAGGGGAACCCTCTTACACTGTTGGTGGGAATGCAAGCTGGTGCAGCCACTCTGGAAAACAGTAAGGAGGTTCCTCAAAAAGTTGAAAATAGAGCTACCATATGACCCAGCAATTGCACTACTGGGTATTTACCCCAAAGATACAAATGTAGGGACCCGAAGGGGCACGTGCACCCCCAATGTTTATTGCAGCAATGTCCACAATAGCAAACTGTGGAAAGAACCAAGATGTCTGGCGACAGATGAATGGATAAGGAAGATGTGGTATATACATACAATGGAATATTATGCAGTGATCAGAAACATGAAATATTGCCATTCGCAATGATGTGGATGGAACTAGAGGGTATTATGCTAAGTGAAATAAGTCAGTCAGAGAAAGACAAGTATCATATGATCTCGCTGATATGTGGAATTTGAGAAACAAGGCAGAGGATCATAGGGGAAGGGAGGGAAAAATGAAACAAGATGAAACCAGAGAGGGAGACAAACCATAAGAGACTCTTAATCTCAGGAAACAAACTGAGGGCTGCTGGAGTGGAGGGGGGTGGGAGGGATGGGGTGGCTGGGGGATGGACATCGGGGAGGGTATGTGCTATGGTGAGCGCTGTGAATTGTGTAAGACTGCTGAATCACAGATAATACATTATATGTTAATAAATAAAATAAAAATCACAAATGATACATTATATGTTAATAAAAATAAAGAAATTAAAAAAAAAGAATACCTAGGAATAAATTTAACCAAGATGGGGAAAGACCTGTATACTGAAAACTCTAAGACGCTGATGAAAGAAACTGAGACATAATTAAATGGAAAAGTATTCCATGATCAGAATCAGACTGGAAGAAATATTGTTAAAATGTCCACACTAACCAAAGCAAGCTATAAATTCAATGCAGTTCCTATCATTCCAATGGCATTTTTCACCGAACTAAAATAATTCTAAAATTTACATGGAACCACAAAAGACCACAAATAGCCAAAGCAGTCTTCAGAGAAAGAACAAATCTAGAGCTATCATGCTCCCTGATTTCAAACTATACTGCAAAGCTATAGTAATCAAAACAGTATTATTGGCATAAAAACAGACACAGATCAATGGAACAGCATAGACAGCCCAGAAACAAACCCATGCTTAAATGGTCAATTAATTTACAACAAATAAGGCAAGAATATACAATGGGGAAAGAAAAGTCTTCACAATAAATGGTGCTAGACACCTACCACATGCAAAAGAATGATACTGGACCACTTTCTTCTCATACCAGGCACAAAAATTAGCTCAAAACAGATTAAAGACATGAATGTTAGACCTAAAGAATAAAACTCCTAGAAGAAAACATAGACATTAAACTCACTGACAGTGCTGATAGAACACTGCTTTTTGGAACGGACTCCAAGGCATTAACAATGAAAGTAAAAACAAACACATGGGATTATGTCAAACTACAAAGCTTCTTCACAGCAAAGGAAACCATCAACAAAATAAAAAGCCAACCTTTTGAACGAGAAAAGAAATTTGCAAATCATATATCTGATAACAGGCTAATATCCAAAATAAATTAAAAAAAAAAACACAACTCATATAACTCAACAAAAAACAATCTGATTTAAAAATGAGCAGAGGTTGGGGCACCCGGCTGGCTCAGAGGAGCATGCGATTCCTGATCTTGGGGTCATGAGTTCGAGCCACACACTGGATGAGAGATTACGTAAATAAATTTTAAAAACAAATAAATAAATAAATGGGAAGAGGATCTGAATAGACATTTTTGCAAAGAGGCCACACAGATGGCCAGTAGGCGCAGGAAAAGATGCTCATCACTCCTCATCAGGCAAATGCAAATCAAAATCACAATGAGATGTCATCTCACACCTGTCAGAATGACTATTATCAAAAACACAAGAAATAACAAGTATTGGAGGGACTGTGGAGAAAAGGGAACCCTCCCAGTTAGGAATGTGAACTGGTGCAGCCCCTACAGAAAAACAGTACAGAAGTCCCTCAAAAAAATTAAACAAATAAAAACTGCCATATGACCCACCTACCACCTATTCTACTTCTGGGTATTTACCCGAAGAAAATAAACCTATTAATTCGAAAAGATCATTACAGCACTGTTTATAATAGCCAAGACATGGAAACAACCTAAGCGTGAATCAATGGATGACTGGATAAAGAAAATGCGGTACATGCACACATGCATTATTATTACTCAGCCATAAAAGAGAAGGAAATCTTGCCATTTGCGACAACATGGATGGACCCGAGGGTATTATGCTAAGTAAAATAAGTCAAACAGACAAAGCCATACAGCATATGATTTCACTTACATATGGAATCTAAAAAACAAAACTCAGATACGGAAACAGAATGATGGTTATCAGAGGGAAAGGGAGTTTGAGGGTGGGCGGAGAGGGTGAAGGGGATCAACTGTATATGACAGATGGTAAAACTACACTTAAGTGTAGTAATCACTTTGCAGTGTGTGCAATATTGAATTATGCTGTACACCTGAAACTATTACTATATACCAATTTTACCTCAGTTTTAAAAAATCCTAAATTATTTGCTAACATACTCTCCCCTCCCCCACTTATAATCTTCCTAAAACAGCTCTGCATCACCACCAACCTCCTTTCCCTCCCTATTACTCTATGCTTTTCCTTCTCCATCACCTTGATTGAGCAACTGACCCCCATCTCCCCTATACCATGAATCTCCCCCACCCTACCTTTCTCCGCTTAGTTGGTAACTGTGCTGATGTGTCTTCTATTTAAACAAATAAGATAATTTCTGAAAGCAGAGGTAGGAAGGTGAGTATCCTGTGTTTCAAACTGTCCTAATCAGTATGGAGATCACATTCAATAAATAACTTTTTCTACTCCAGTTTTCAGTTTCCTTCTTTGAGAACACCAATTATGATTTTTAGCCTTATTTCCCAGGCCAATCATTTTTTCTCTAATCCTTGCTAGCATTCTGTTTACAACCATTTAATTTTTCTTTTATTTAAAAGAAAAAAAAAATCCTGGGGCTCTTGTGTGGCATGGTTGGTTGAGCATCTTACTCTTGATTTCGGCTCAGGTCATGATCTTAGGTTTGTGGGGTCAAGACCCGTGTCGGGCTCCACGCTCAGCGTGAGTTTCCTTGAGATTCTCTCTCTCTCCCTCTGCACCACCCCCACCCCAGCTCATGCATGCACCCACTCGTTCTATTTCTCCTTCCCTCTCAAAATAAATAAGTAAAATCTTAAAAAAAAAATCCCAACCTCCATGTCCCTTATGTTTTCAGCAGTGTCCCTTCAATTTCGTGTTTGCCCCACATGCTTCTCCCTCAGAACCACCCCAGGCAAGAGAAGCTCGCATCACCCGCCTGTGTAGCACGCCATTCCCTTTGTTCTCTATTACAAGAACCGTCACTTCATACTTTGTCTTGAGATCGGTAGCTGTGAGCATCTTTTCTTGGCTTCTCCCCATATTCCCCATTTGGCCTTCACTGCTTTAGAAAGACATTCCTCACACATTACAGTTATGGATTAGACATGAAACACGGCAAGTGTGTTTTGGTTTTCTTTTCTTTCTTGCTCCTTTCGTGATTGCAGGAGGCAGCATCCGTTTCACTAGGCGACCTTAAAACTGAAAGTTCCCTCAAGCACAGAAAGGAATGAATAATGATACATGGCACAGTGTGGATGAGTCTCAAAAAGAGGAAGAGAGAACTACCTCTACTTCTCTCTTCCCATGTGTTCACATCAAGGAAAAGTGATAGGAGGATATAAAAGAAGGCCACCATCTGCATGCCAGAAAGAGAGCCTCACCAGAAACCAAACTGGATGGCACCCTGACCTCAGACTTAATGGCCTCCAGAACAGTGAGAAATTCACTCTTCAAGCCACCCAGACTGCTGCATTTTATTATGGTGGCCCAAACTAAGCCACCGAATTGTGTATTTTTAATGATCGATTTTCTGTTATGTGAATTTTACCTCAATTAAAAAATACCTGTGGGGCGCCTAGGTGGCTCAGTTGGTTAAGCAACTGTCTCCGGCTCAGGTCATGATCCTGGAGTCCCTGGATCGAGTCCCGCATCAGGCTCCCTGCTTGGCAGGGAGTCTGCTTCTCTCTCTGACCCTGCCCCCCCTCATGTGCTCACTCTCTCTCATTCTCTCTCTCTCATATAAATAAATAAAATCTTTAAAAAAAATACCTGAAAGTCCCTACACGTCTTAGTTCCAGTATCTGGCCCTATCTGCTACATAGGAGGCAGATAATAAATGGCTCCTGAAGGAAGGAATGAATGAACACAAATCTCTGATGATGTCACTTCCTGTTCAGAACTCTAAATGAATGTCTACCACCAAGAGGAAAAGAAAATTGCAAATTCAAAGGACTCCTGTCCTTATTTGCCTTTGAGACTTCATTCCCATTCATTCCCATCAGCATCAACCTGAAATGTTATTCCTTTCCACTTGTAATGACTCTATTCAATCTTCAGTCTCAACACAACTGTGACCTCCTCCACAGAGATCCATACCTTATGCCTTTCCAGCCTATGCCAACCAGCGTAAGTAAGCTCTGCTGTGCATCTGTAATACTGTCTTTAGGGATTTACTGCACTTATATACTGCTTTGATGATTGTTTATATGGATGCCCTAAATCCTCAATCATACTATAACCTTCTAGAAGGTAGGGACCACGTTTTTAATATTTAAATTCTTCACTGTACTCAACACATAGCTTTGCATAAAGAACATGTTCTTTTTTCGTTTTTTTTCTTAAGATTTTTTTTTTTGAGAGACAGAGGGAGAGAGCAGTGGGAGGGGCAGAGGGAGAGAATCTCAAGCAGACTCCCCACTGAGCGCAGAGGCTGATGCGGGTCTCACTCCCACGACTCGTGAGATCATGACCTGAGCCAAAACCAAGAGTTGGATGCTCAACCGACTGAGCCACCCAGGCACCCCAAGAACATTTTTCTTTCTTTCTTTTTTTAAGATTTTATTTATTTATTTAAGATGGAGAGAGAGGGGGGATGGGCAGGGGGGAGTGGCAGAGGGAGAGGGAGAAGCAGACTCTGCTAAGCAGGGAGCCCAATGCGGGGCTCGATCCCAGGACTCCAGGATCATGACCTGAGCTGAAGGCAGATTCTTAACCAACTGGGCCAGGCACCCCCAAGAACATTTTTAATAATAAGTTTATCAGTGAACAAAAACTAATTTAGTTTAAAGAGGAAACTGGAAGAGCCAGTGTCCTGAGCAGGTCAGTTAACCACTGAGCACTTTTAAATGCAGCTACATGACACAGACAAGGTATTTAATATAAAGAGAATGCACAATAAATTTCATTTGCTTCATAGTGTCAATTATCATCTCATCATTAATAATCCACAGCCACCTTAGAATATTTTAATAGCGTGATGGGTTTATTATTACAAATGAGGATTTTTAAAAATAGGTTCATATTAAATTTAAAATAGCTTTCTGTCATTAAGGAGTTTCCAATTCTCTTATAACAACATGAGAAAATAACAGTAGGGAATTTCATATTCTATTTCTACACTGCTGGTATTGAGCAAACACCATAAAGGTTTACCAATTTTGACTGTTTTATAAATAACATTTATGAAATTTTTGTATATGGTAAATAATCAGATTTCAATTTAAAAGTTAGAACAAGGGTGCGTTAGCAAAGTACATAATGTTCTTATTCCTCTACATATATTCAAATCCAAAAGCATATTAAGAGTGTGTCCTTTTGGACTAAGGTCAGTTAAAGGAACACAGCAAGAATGTCAGAAGCTAAATTTAGTTTTACCTCCATCGTTGCCTGAGAGGTAGAACATCTCTAATATGATGTCAAATATAAAGATTGCCTTACCAGGTAATTTCTTCTCTAGTTGTTGCTGTTCATCTTCTAAAACCGGTTCCTCTGGTAACCTCTGATCGACTGCCGTTGAGCTGATGATAGATATACCACTGCCGGATCGAACTCGTCTGCAATTGTGGAAAAAAAGAGATTCATATATAAAGCTGTCTGGTAGAATTGAGCAAATTATGGAAAAGAATTGTTAAAGAGTATGCCACATCATGGAGTATATTTCATTTATAGTGAGGAAAAGATAAAGATTTGGTCCTCTTTATTTACAAAGAGTTTTTAAAAAATGAGTATGTGAATATCATCAGACTCTAGAGTGCCCAGTTCGTTCAAATGTTTAGAGCTATCCCCCAAATCAGGGCAATTCCAAAGGGCTGAATTAGTGAATAATCATCACGTGGTCTAGAACAGTGCCTGGGTCACAGTCAAGTGCTCACCGTTGTTACCACTACCCTTTTACAGAACATTAAATCTGCCAAGGGAAGATGAGCGGCTCAGCTGAATGGGAGCACCTCTTTTCCCTTTACAAAGTCTTTCTATCCATTTTTTCTTATAACAAACACATGAAATAGTACACATCACAGGCCCTAAAACAAATCATTTAGATTACTGATTAGTTTCCCCCTAAGCCGTTAACCTTGTTCTTTTAAAGCAATCTACCTTTTCGTCAATGCTTTTCTATCAGCTTCCAGTCTTGCATCTCTTATAGTGATCCATGCAGCTGTCAGACTGCAGACACACTGCCCAGCTACAGTTTCTTCCGACAGCCAGATTTCTCGGCTCGCTCCATGTACGCACTGACAGCCAGGGCACCCTTTCTCTCACTTTTTTGGGGATCTCTGCACACAACTCCCCCCGCCCAGGTATTTGAGGAATCAGGACAGAAATTCTTGTCTTTCTTTTCCTGTTCTCTGTGCTTGTAAGATTTCCTATTTGTCTTTTAAAGTTAAAGCCGTGAGACGTCGTTGTCTGAGAGGGGAGGCGTGCGGTGTGTGAAGGCAGACCAGTCATTGCACATTCCTCCCAACTGGACCTTGGTCTATTCTCTTGAAAATTCCACTGAAACTGTTTCAGACCAGGATCATTGTCTTTAATTAGCTTCCTGATTATAATTTCTACATTGCCTGTATTTTGTTACCTAACCAGTGTGTAGAAGTCACAGGTAGAGTCTCCCTGCTGCCTTAGTTACTATGCACAGGTTAATATGGTTTTACTTTAACTGTTAAAATTTTTGGTGAACTTTGATTAGATAGATGGGTACAAAAATCGACAACCTTTTGATGTTTTACTAATAGACTCGAACTACTTTAAAGAACAGAACAGGCCCGGGGCGCCTGGGTGGCTCAGTCGTTAAGCTTCTGCCTTCGGCTCGGGTCATGATCCCAGGGTCCTGGGATCGAGCCCCCCATCGGGCTCCCCGCTCCGTGGGAAGCCTGCTTCTCCCTCTCCCACTCCCCCTGCTTATGTTTTCTCTCTCGCTGTGTCTCTCTCTGTCAAATAAATGACTAAATAAATAAATCTTTAAAAAAAAAAAAAGACAGAACAGAATAGGCCCAAGATTAACACAGGACCTAGATAAGAACACTTTCTTGAATTCATGGATATTTCATTTACTTGCCAGGAATAAAAGTGACTAAGAGAGACACAGCCAACAAAATCCAGTTTGAAATTCACATAGCAAATCCACAATTTCTTGTAAGGGCCAAAGGTTCCTTACCTAAAGGAAGGTGGAATGTACTCTGGAGGCAGGACAGGTGGCAGTGGTTGGCCAGACATAGCGACATCAATTAGGTGCATAGCCAAGATAAATTCTTCTGCTGTGAGTTTTCCATCTTGATCAATGTCAGAAAGATTCCTATTCAACAAAAAGTTAACCATATTCTAGTTTCATGAAAATGCATGTGTGTTACTATTCACAAGTGATTGAAATGTTCTGTTTCCTTATTCTGACTCTAGGCCAGTTGAGTCTCTCTGTGCCTCGGTTTATAAAAATAGTACCTATTTCATAGTACTGCTGCAAAGATAAAATGAAACAATCCAAATCGTTGGGGTGGTGTTCAGCATTCAGCAAATGTTAACTATGATTATAATTATACTCTTCTCAAGCCTTGCCAGCCCATTTAAAACATATCATACTCACATTCTATGTGTCTTTAAACACTATGCTCGGCAAACTATCGGGTCAGATAGTAAACATTTAAGCTTTACAAGACATGGTCTCTTATCACACTGAATTCTGCCCTTTTGGCAAGAAAGCAGCCATAGATACATAAATAAATGGGTGTAAAACCTCATTTACAAACACAGCTGCAGGCCAAGTTCTACTCATTTAGGTTAGCTTGCCAACTTCTGATCTAGACCTACAAGGGTGGATCTTTATGGCCTTCAGCCAGAGTCAAGATGCTTGCTGCTCCTTAGTCTCAAGATTCAGTGGCTACCATTCCTCATAATCAACTTGCCCTAGTAGTTAATGAGAATAAACAGATTTTTTTCCAGCAAGTCTAAGAATGGGATTTTACTTAATCACTTCTGGACACCAAAAGAGGATGCAAGACAACAAAGATGTTCACCAGAATGCCAACAGGACAGATACTACACTGGGAAACCGGCTTTGCTGATGCCATAAAATCAAGAAATTCCTCTTAAATCTGAAATGTCCTTGGGTGGCATAAACCAGTTTTTATTAAAGGTATAATGTCCATACAGTGACATTTGCCCTTTCTAGAGTACAGTTCTGCAAGTTTTGACAGATTCAGTGGCATAACTGAATTCAGTTGTGTATCACAATATATAGAACAGTTGCCATCACCACGCAAAATTCCCCTGCATTTCTTAGTCACCCCCTTGCCTTGCCCACAGACCCTGGCAACCAATGATTTCTTTTCTGTCCCTCGAGCTTTGTATTTTCCAGATGCCAGAATCCTGCCTGTTCTTCCTCATCGTCTCCTCCTTCCCATCCCCCACTACAGCAACTCCCTGACAAATTCAATTAGAAGGCAGGTGGGATTCTTTTCCCCCCATACTTGCCTAAATAATGGCTGTAAACACTTAATTAAAATATCTTTCTATTGTATAGAAAGGGAATATAATACCATTCTAGTAGGAGAGACTTAAGTATTTTTTTCAAAGAAGGCAGGTTATAAATGAGATACTGAAGCATTTCAATATACTCTAGTGTCACAAGAACACCTAATAAACTACCAATCAACCTCCATAAATGTCAGATCTCAAGTTTACATTTCAGAAGGTCCTAGGATACTGGTACATACCCAGACTTAAGAGATCTGGATGTGTCATATTAACTGGTCTATTATGTTTATTACCTGGTCTATTATTATTATATTTCAAAGGAAGACCCTTTAATACAAAGCAGAAGGAACCAGGATGGGTGAAGGAACTAGCACTAGAGCGTGACCACTTATGAAGCAACCGTATCAATGGGCCCTATGGCAAAACCATGAACCTCGATTCATGCAATTAAAGTAATCAAAAGCTATGAAAAATCCTTACAAAATCGGGGCGCCTGGGTGGCTCAGTCAGTTAGTTAAACATCCGACTCTTGATTTTGGCTCAGGTCGTGATCTCAGGGTTGTGAGATCAAGCCGCACGCTGGGGTCTGTGCTGGGTGTGGAGACTGCTTCTCCCTCTGTCCCTCCCTCACCCTCCCTTCCTCCCTAAGAGAAAAAAAAAAAAATCACTGCAAAATAGACATTTATGTGCCTTCTGATGAAAGTACACTGCAATATCTCTGATGTAGTCTTGCCAAAAAAAAAAAAAAAAATCAAACTTGAATCTGATGAGTGGTTCTCATGAGTGGGATGATTTTGTACCCCAAGGGACATCTGTCAATACATGGAGACATCTTTGATTGTCAAAACGGGGGGTGGGGGGTCATGTTACTGGCATCTAGTAGGTGGAGGCCAAAGATGCTACTGAACAATCTACAATACACAGAACACCCCCCCACAGTGAAAAATTATCAGGCCCAAAGGGTCAATCGTGTTGAAGTGTAGAAACATTGCTCTAGATCCAGTTACCCATCTACAGGAAACCCAGGAATAAATTAACACAAGGAAGCAACCACCAAAAGATAGACTAGAAGAAACTACAGGATAAACAATCTGGGTTCTTCTTGTTTGGGGGGATCAGAGAACACGGGGGAGTTTACAGAACACTTAAAAGACGTGTCAACCAACTGATGCCAAATACAGATATATCTGCATGATCTGAACAAGTCAGCTACAAAAAATTATGATCCAATCTAACGAATCTGATCACTATCTGATTAACTTAATGATAAGAATTACTATTAAACATTTTTGGTGGACTACTGGTATTACGGTCTTCTTGAAAAAAATCCCTATCTCTTTTGGAAATGCAAGCTAAAATACTTGTAGATGAAAACGATATAATCACTGAGATCTGGCTTAAAATAATCGGGAAGGAGGAGGGGAGAACCAGATCTAAGTCACAAGCTGAGACTTACTATAAACTGCGTGATAGAGAATTCATCAATCTCTCTGCTTTTGTATTTTTCAAAATCAAAAAGGGGAAAGAGTGAGATGATCTTCACAGATCATTGGAAAATTAAGCATAATTCCTACAGCCCCACCCATAAATACTGGTATGAATCTAAAGACCCATGAAGCCATACCAATTTAAGCCACTTTATACAAACCAAGGAACTTTTTATTCCTTACCATATTGAAGCCAGCTGAGCCTGTGGCAAACTTGATTGCATAAGAATAGTTCTTGCTTGGGGACCTAAACAGAAACCGGGGGAAAAAAATATAAAGATGAATCAGCAAATCTTCACTGTCCAGGAAGACCAGTGTTGTGCACATAAAGCAGCACTATGCAATCTCATGCAATCACAGTGCTTTAAACAGTATTTGCTATTACCCAAGGGGCTTTTTCAAAAGGAAATTAAGCCCCAATGAAAAGGGAAAAAAAAACAAAGCACACCACAGCATCTGGCACATACTCAATAAATTCTTGTTAAATGGATGGTTAATGAAAAAAGAGTATGTAAAAGATTAGAGTTTCAAAATGTAACCTGCCCTTTTATCCAGATTATCATCTCTATTTGTTATCAGGCTTTTATTTACAAAGCTGAAACTTCTTGTCTCTAAACTCAGCATCTTCTGCCACTGTGTGCTGCCTCTACCAAGACCACTATCAGAGAAGATTCAAGAATCTCAGAGGAGGAAGGACCTTAAGAGAGGACAACTCTTGTAACTGTTTCATTACAGACTTAAAAAAAAAAAAGGGGGTCTTGCTCAAGCCTCCACAAATGGCTAGTATCACAACCATTTCTTATGTTAGCAATAAAGAATGCCTGGAATTCCAACTCTGCTCTCCAAATCACCTCTCATTTCTTAAAGTACTTGTAAATATCTTCACCTCTGGCATGAAACTTGGGCTTAGATATCAGATAAAGTCTACAGTGGAAATTTTGAGTGTTGAAATAAACCAGTGCTGGGAGAGAGACAACTGTGTCTTCTATCCATCACTGACTCTCAAGGTGTGGTCCCAGGATGACCGATGGACCAAGGAATGGAGAGTTGTAGCAATCTGGTTGGGAAGATTGCCATGTATAAATTTTTGCTTTTAGCTATTTCATTTTTCAAATGGCACCTCATCAAAAAACACACAAAAAACACACCAGATGTGTTTTTGCATAGCAAGCAGTAGCGGTCAGGGACCTCTGAGAATCGCCCCCAATGTATCAGCACAGGAAGTGCCGGAGAACTTGCCATGAGACTCAGGCAGGCAGTTTCCTCATTAGCTGGACCAGTTTTCTCATTTCAGATGTCCCTTCCAGATTTACGAGTCTGTGCTCCATCAAATAAGGAACTATAACATGGAGCTTAATATAGTGCTAGTGCATAAAAAATGCTAAATTAATGGTAGTTAATATAGACAATATTCGAACTTTGATTTACATATAAAATGTGAGCAGAAAAGCACACATGAACATATACATATGTATTTTCACATGTGTACAGGTATACAGCTTAATTTTCCAAACTGAAAATGGTCAAGTAAATCACACCTAGATTATGAAACAGCACCCCAGAAACCCTATCCAGTTCCCCTCTTTTTTTAAGAGAAGGGGAGATGGGAGGTAGAGAGGGAGTGGGAGAGAGGGAATCTTAAGCAGGCTCCACGCCCAGAGCAGAGCCCAATGAAGGACTCCATCTTACCACCCTGAGATCATGACCTGAGAGTCAGAAGCTAAACCAACTGAGCCACCTAGGCGCCCCAGCTCCAGCTCCCTTCTAATCATCCCCCCGACCAAGTGCAGCCCAACTTCTAACAGCACAGTGTGCCCGTGGTAAGTCTGGCTTATTCTGTTCCACAAACTGTACGCAATTGTAGGACATTAACCCTAACTGTTGTGTGGTATATCATTTTGTGAATATGTAACAATCTATGTATCCATTCTGTTGATGGGCATTCAGATAGTTTTCATTTTGAGGCCATTATGAACAGCGAACCTTCTAGGTTTTGGCAAACATATGTACACATTCCTGTTGGATGAATGTGTGTGTGTGTGTGTGTGTGTGTGTGTGTGTGTGTGTGTCGGTGTCTGTGTATTGGGAGTCTCTGAGAAGCAATCTTTTTAAAATTAATGGGAAAAGCTCTAGAAGTTCTGTGGTATACTGGAATGAGGAAAGTACACTGATCATTTTGTGTAGTCTCTAATATTGTACACTTAGCATGGTGGAACACAAAAATAGAATTAGCCAAACTTCAGTGAATGCTTTAATTGATACTTGTAATAATTCTCTCCACTTCAGAACTACATAAAAGGAAGACAGTATTTCACCTACTACCAATAAAAAGTGTAATAATAAACAAACAAAAAGAACTAGTTCTGGACCTAGATGGGTAGCAGGAGATTTGGATTCCAGTCCTGACTCTTCCTACTCCCTATGACATTAACAAAAGTACTTTCACTCTCTAAGAGTAAGCTCCTTCCCCTCTAAGTGAGGGAAATGATCTGGAACAGCGATTGGTAAGACACAGCCCACAGGCCGTATCTGGTCCCCCATCTGTGTTTGTAAATAAAGTTTTCTTGAAACACCACCAAGCCCATTCACTGGAGCGTGACACATGGTTGCTTTTGTACTAGAATGGCACAGTTGAGTAGCTGTGACAGGCAAAATGTAAGCCGAATATGTTTATGGTTTTGTTCTTTATAGAAAAAGTTTGTTACCTACCACACCAGAAGACCACAGCTTTTTGCAATTCTAATACTTGACTCTGTACGTCCTAAGACAAAGAGTTGTGAAACATCAAAATAATCACCAACACCTAAGATGGCCTCCTAGCGTAATAGAACAGCATAAAATTGAACTCTTGAGTATGGAGAACTATCCTGTGGAAGCCCACATCCATAAAAAAGATATCAGTTTTGGGGTACTGGCTTCTATGGAAACATTATGGGAATAAACAGAAATCCCAAGTTCATAAGCCCTACTATGGGCACCCGTGTTTGTGTAGGGAAGCATGCACGGGAAAGGCAGAAATAATTAAATGAAGTTAATACTTTATCTCAAACAATGCCTATCACTTCAGCTTTTGTGATTAATATAAATAACCAAAGAGCATATTCATTGTTTCACAATGCAAGATGAATAAAATCCCTCTTTGAGGAGAGGCTAGCATTGATGACTGCCAGAATTCTACATCTACTTACATTATCTTGATTAGAGAATGGGCTCTCTCTATTTTTAAGATTGTCTCTTTTAAGAGTGTTTAACAGCATACACATCAAGTTGTGAAGGAACGAGGGGGTACCCACCTAAACAGGTGTACCAGCTAAATTAACCCAGGTAATCAGTGGAGTAAAATATACCACTGCTAGATTAGCTTTACTTCCCACAGTGGACAAGCTCAGATCACAAGCTCAGAGATTAAGTATGCAGAGAAACATGAGCAAAATCTGCTCTTTCAGGTATATTTCAAATTTTACTGTCTACCTCATCTATTAAAAGTTCTAAATATTTAAGTGCTTGCATCATTATCTTTAGGATGAAGACACTGCACTGCATTCATAAAACACAGATCCTACCAAGAAAGAGGATCGCTACATCAATGTCACACCTGAATACTATTTTAATTAATTCACAGCAAACACCAACAATGCTTGGAAGAATTCTTCTCGGATTCACTGACAACATAGTTCTGGGTCTGTATGGAGCACTGGTGTGAAACAGACCATGTACCCCAAAACTGAATTATACTTAAAAACTGTACTACTGAATATTCCCTCAGTGCCTGTGTAAGCTGGACTGGTTTCCCATAGTATGTATAAAAATGACAGTGATGTTTCAGCAGAGTGAGCGTGGCATTTAGAAAACTTGTGTACAATTACAATCTGCCCCCTCGGATATAAATGTATACTTATTTGAGAAGACTGCTGAGATCGTTTTTTAGGGATAAGGCTCAAGATTAGATCAGACCCTTCCAAATCTCACCCAACGCTGATATTTTTTAACAGGTGAACTTTTCTTTTGTAAGTAAAAATTGCAATTGTTAGGTGATAGCGCAAAAAAAGTAAGAAAAAAAGTCAGAAAATTAAAATACCTTTTTCCACGTCAGGAAAATTCACTCTTTCTCCTTCCTTCTGTGCTGTGAAAGGGCAGTCACATTCTTTCCCTTCTCAATGTTCAGATCAGAGGTATCTATTCTTACTAAAATTATACCTTTCTTTAGAATTCTCTCATCAATTTTGAGAAACCCTTCTGGATAGTACCCTAACATCCTTTCTACTGATATAGGTAACAGAATCTTTTTTTTTTTCTTTAAATCCATGGAGGTCATATAACTTAACTCTGACCTCTTGTACAAGAAATAATCTAACTAGGTAAAGTGACCTCCAGCTAGTTAGGGGCAGAGGCAGGTTCCAAGCTCCCCAACCAATTACCTTCACCCTGCAAACTGCCTTAAACACAGGCTCTTTGAGGGACACTTGCAAGTTCACGTACAAAGCTGGGCTTCAGAACCAGTTTGGGTTTCTAGCCGTGTTTCTGTGCCAGCACTCTGACTTGCATACTAGTGGTGTCCACTGTGCAGCAGGATCCTGGGTCTATGTTCCATTTACCAAGAAGCACCAGGGTCAAAGCCTGAGGCGCCGCACTGGAGAAGAAAGTGTAAGTGTGGCGTTATCAGGAGATGAGAACTCAAGATGAAGGAGGACAATGAAAACCATGTTTTGATAAAAAGCAAACAGAGAAAGGCATTTGGAGACCATCTATGGTCCAACATCTGGAAGCAATCTGCATTTGGAGTCAAAATCATATTTCACTAAATTAATTCTCATTTGTAAATACCTGTTAAGTGTCCACTCATAGTTTTGTCATGACTGTTGAATAACTGTCTGTACTTCAGTCTGGATGACTGAGGGACAGCCCACTCTGCCACGGGAGGGACACTGTGGGGGAAGAGGAGGGACAATGAGGAACGTATTTAAATTCTGTAACAACAGTAAACTAAGAACTTCCCTAGAAAACAGCTTTAACATTTTATTCACTTTCTAATCACTACTTCTGGATTTTGTGTAAGGAGTACTTCTGAATTTTAAGGTTAGAAACATTTCTCTCAAAACAGATACGCTCGTTATTTTTCCAGAATCAAGGGAAAACACAACAGACCAAGTGACTGTTCCAAGTCACAGATACAATTCATAATTTAAAGGTTCTACAAAACACGGAAAAATCTCCTTGTCACTGAAGTGATACACTAATGCCCAGGCTTTTCCAAACTTCTAGAAGTTTTCTTTCACCTTAAAAAGCAATGCTGATAGCAAACAGATAACTGCCTTTAAAGGTATTCATTCTTTAATATTTATAACTTTCTATTTAGCAAAAACACATTAACTTCTTAAGGAAGGGAAATCATTTCATTCTGGGAAGTTTCAATTCCCACAAATGCTGAGAGAACAGAACCTGTCCAGGGTCATGGTGAATCAGGGGAGCGGTAATGGGAGGAGCTTTGCTTTCTTGCCGGCAATCCAGTGCTGACCTTTCCCTGCCCAAATGCATCAACTCTGACCCAAGGAAACCGCTACCAGCAGTCAGTGGGGTCTACGCCTCCTTCGTGATCAGGTCTCAGGGTAGTTCCTCACAACTATAACACTGGTACCTATAGCTTATCAAGAGCCTGGTGTCTAAACAGGGCAATTTAAACACCATGGCTAAGGTCTCGGTAAAAATGGCGTTCCACTTCCAGGATAGGTTATAACTAATGTCTCATTTGCAATTTCCTTTGATTCCAACAAAAATATCTACTTCTCATATGTAAAAACAAAATTTTAATCATAAATGAAACCTTTTAGTCATCATTTACATATGTTATCTATGCCCTTATACTTAATAATACACACTTCATAAAGTATAGGAAACAGATCCCAAATACTTGGAAAGTATCTAATTATATTCACCTTTTCAATTATTATAAATTTCTTAGTAAAAAACACTTACCAGGATCGATTCTGCTGTGAGTAATTCTGCAACAACCTTCTCATTTTAAACTAACTAATATTTTGCTGATTCCCACTCTTGCCTACTTGTCAAAAGCTAATTATCTTTCTCTTGCACCCCAGGAATATAGGGTGTTGCACACAGAAGCTGCCCCAGATTATATTTATCAAGTCATAGTTTTCTGCTGAGACTTTCCTGAAAATTTAAATGCACGAAAAACTTCATTAACAGGTAACCAAAAACTAGATGCCACATTCTAAAAATTTGCCAGAAATTTAAATTATTGAAAAGATGACTACCAAAAAAACCCCCAAACCAGTTGTCTTAATAGCATTAATGTTTGCTAATACTGCTTATTTGTTCATTCTTACGTCACAAATCAATTTTAAGGCAGGCTTGAAAATCTCTTGTGGAGAGGCACAGAAAACTCAAAACTTCAGCATGGTAAAGGAGAAAGACTAACAAAGAAGGAATTCAGTGTCAGTTTACATCTCAGCTCTGCCTTGTGGTAAAATGCAAACCGTCAGTGAGGATTCTAACCTCTCAGGGTTTTCTTCTTCATTCACAATTCTGAGACAGTATCTACTGCAGGTGGTTGGGGGCTGAGTGGGATTAATGAGGTGTTTGGCAAATGGATGCTCAACAATATTCCTGAGTCATAGGAGTAAAACCTTAATTGAGTGGAATGCAAATACCTGTATACCACCATTAACTCAAGTTTCCAGAGCAAACTTCCATGGTTAGGAACTCATGCCTCAAAATCAGAAAGAACTCGGTTCAACTCCTGTCTCTGTCACTTCTGAGTTAGGCTATTTCGGGCAAATTACTAATGTCTCTGAGCTTCCTCCTTATCTACAACATAGAGAGAAGAATCTAGTCATCTTGTAGGGAAGATTGTGAGCATTCCAAGAGCTAATGTGCATAAATCAGCATTCAGCATAGTACTTTTCACTTATGGATTTCCTTTAAATCATTTTATAAAGGGTTATAAACTGTTCAATTATAGTCAACACACTCTTCTCTTGAAAGTGGGAAAATGACTTGATTCACTTAGGAAAGGTTTCTAATGAGGACTAAAACAAGAAAAGATAGAAACATCTTCACTTACATCCCCTTTTAACTGCAAAAGTTTGGAGATGGCTTACAAAGAGACCTAACGTTTCATCTTAGTTCAGCAGTATGCAAGGGGGAAATTAAAGGTAAAAGGAAATAAAAATAAGAAAGATAATACGAAACTAAGATTGGTCAAAATAATAAGCAGTAAGGTCATATCAGCTTTCAAAATTGGGCCACATATTTGATCAGTAACGACTGTCCACTAATCTGAATAATTCATTTCATAAAAGGTGGTTTTAAATAAGGTTTCACAGTAACAATCCACAGAGATTCCGTGAGATTATCTGAGATAGAATAAAAAGAAGGTGGACTGTGGCTCTAATCTTCATCTAAAAAATTTTATAAATTCTTAAATGATTAACATAAAATAGTTAATTTTCCCCTCCTACCTGGAGTTCGATTTCAATATTTTTAAACATTAGTAAAACTGGTACCTATTTGTTTTCCTTGCTAAAAAAAAAAAAAACACCCGAAGCTTTTTGAGGAAATGTCATGTTCTTTCTTTATCATCTCTGCAACACGTAAGTGATAAAACCTGGTAACATTATCCAGAACTAATTATTGGCATGCTACAAAACAGGAGATAATAAAGAAGTAGCTAACTCATTTTCAGTTTTAGGAGTTAATCAGATAATGGCTTTAACTCAACTGCCCATTTAAAAACAAGCACACTTACCTAGCCACATCGAATGACTGCGCCTTCTGTAATTTAGTGTTTAATTGTGACCCAGGACCAGATCTACTAAAGGAAGAGCTCTTTGGCAACGTGGCTGCTGTAAAAATAAGTAAATGTTGAATAATTTTAATCCTACAAAGAAAAGAAACATTTCCTTACTAACGAAAATGAGAATACACAGTCACCAAATCTGAGGCAGAAATTAGTCTTCCCTTATCACCCAGGACTCAAAAAAGAGTTATTCCCTCCTCGCTCCCTGCCCCTTGCCAAAAAATTTTTCAGATTTACTCATTCATTCCTGCTGAAAATCACCTTCCTAAGTAGAAATGTTTACAATCCATGGATTTAACTCTTTGTTAAACATTTCATTATCACATTTTATGGGATCTACACAGATAGCTAACAAAACAACAGCTTAAATACATAGGCTATGGCAGTTCCTTAACTGTGCTGAAAGTATGAGTTCCAGACAGAAGAGCCAGAAAGTCCCAGCCTTGCAGTCCTGGCCACACAACATGGGATGCTAGGGAGGGTTGGCAGCTCTTGTGTCTGATTCTCATTTGGGCCGGTGGTTAGTGGTGAGCCAGGGAAAGGCTCTGAGCCTTAGTTAGCCTCATCCCCCTCATCCCTGCCTACTATCTTGCAACATTTGCCATCAGCCACAAAAGAAAGAAGACAGAGTGCATGGATTCACAGATACTACTGGAAAAGCAACTGCAACAACTTTCTCAGCTGTCATTATCTGCGGACATGGTCACAAATGAAAGGTGAAATACATGGGACAAGAAAATCTTTAAAAAAAAAAGGAAAGGGAAAAAGGTGGAACATTTAGATTCTTTGGCAGACAGATCTTGACAGATGTAAGAAACCCACGAAGCTGGGCAGAGAAAAAATGATTCAAATATAATCATTACCCATGGTTAAAACCCAGGCCATCCTCACTACTGAATTACGCAGACACATCCAAAGTACTTAAAAAAAAAAAAACAAAAAAAACCTCCCCCAGGGGCTTCTGGGTGGCTCAGTCAGTTAAGCATCTGACTCTTGGTTTGGGCTCAGGTCATGATCTCAGGGTCGTGGGATCAAGCCCCGAATCAGGCTCCACGCTCAGCACAGAGTCTGCTTGTGCCTCTCCCTCTGCTCCTCCCCCTGCTCTCTCTCCAATAAATAAAATCTTTTTTTTTAAGATTTTATTTATTTATTTGACAGAGAGGGAGAGCGAGCGAGCACACAAGCAGGGGGAGCAGCAGAGGGAGAGAAGCAGGCTTTCCGCTGAGCAGGGAGCCCAATGAGGGGCTTGATCCCAGGACCCTGGGATCGTGACCTGAGCCGAAGGCAGACGCTTAACCGACTGAGCCATCCAGGCGCCCCTAAATAAATAAAATCTTAAAAAAAAATACTTCCCACACTGGATAAGAATTTACAAAGATTTGTAGACCACATCTATAGTTTATGCTTTCTTCTCACTAAGGGGAAGAGACTTTTAAGTCTTAAAATGAAATTAACTACACCAGGAACTTTTTCATCCTTTCCTTCAATGAAGAGAGCAGGTAATACTCCACCCTTAATGTATCTAGCCATTTAATAAACGTCCTTCTCCCTTCCACCTGCTTCACTATACCGCCTCAAAAAAAAAGGAATATGCAATTTTCCTTTTTCTCCCCCCACATAATCCTACTCCTAAGGGAATGGCTTATCAGCAATTCATAGCAGCTGAAGAAAAGTAGTTGCTTACACATGGAAACTGTAAATGTTCGAATACTACCCAAACTTGACTTGCTTTTGTCAAGCCCTGGAAAGGAAGTTACGCTCTTGGTTTTAGCTGTTCAGTTCACCTTCGCCCATAATGGTACCAGAGCTCCATCATTTCATTCTCCTTTACTTCTCCCTGGCCTAGCAGAACCCACTTACTATGTCGGAAAAAAAATGAGATATTTAATTTGAAAAAGGAAGATACTTTCCTCTGGAACCAAATGCCACTCACATATAATCAGAAAGTGAAGACAGAAGATTTAGCTAGAAGGAAGAGTTAAGATACACGTAAAAATTCAGTGTGTGGGTTCATCAGGTCACGTACCAGGATGAGCAAATGCAGGGAGAGGCTGTATGACAGGGGGAGTCCCATTAGCCAGGGGAGGCACTGCTGCTGTAGGAACAGAAGATACCAGAGGTGGAGACATTCCCACAACTGGAACGGGTCCCATTGGCACTGAAGCGACGGCTGCGAGCGGCGGCATGCCGGCGATACCTCCTATACCTAGGAAGGAAGAATTCCAACAAAATTCACGCGGAATCACTGGTCCACATTCAACAATAATTAAGCCAAGAGTGTTCGAAGAAACAAATCACTTTCCAGTTGTAATACAGTCCCATTTAAAATATAAATTCAGAAAAAAATACATATATAAATTCAGATTAATCATTTTGGAGAACACCAAAAATTACGTCAAGGATCACATCATAAGGGCACAAGACCCAACGTGAAGAGGGACCTACCGGCCACAGTTGAGGATCAGTAAGAATAATAACTGGAATGGAATGAGAATTAAATTTATGAATTCATAATGATATTTAAAAACAAACAAAAAAATCCCAATTGGCCATCATAGGTAATAAATGCATTCTGAAAACTAGTATAAATAAAGGAGGAAAAGAAATGAAACATCCACCCTGCCTTTCCTTTACATACTGAACCTCAGAGTAACCAAACATTTGACAGGGAAGTTTCTCTTTATAGAAGTATTCTAACCAGAGTGAAGAAATGATAGAATGAAATAAATGTTTCCTTCCTTTTTTGTTTCTTTGTCTGAGCTTGGGAAACCGTGACATAGTAAGAAATACCCATCTGGCCTTGGTTCCCGGTTCCTGGTTCCTGGCAGAGCTCCTAAAACCCTTGCGATTTCCTGACTCACAGGAACATCTTTTGTTACAACATTTGGTCTTTGCCCCTGGTTCCTGACACAGGAGCTTCTAAGACACCTGGAATCTCTGGAGTGTTAAGAGTGTCTTTTTGTATTCGGACAGGGTGACTTGGTGGGTGGGGGCCCCTAAACAGGTGCAGGACAGAAGCTGGTCATGGGCAAGACCACAGCATGGTTAGGGGGGTGCAACTTTCGATCCTCTCCCAGCACCTCCACCTCCACACAGACCTCAGGGGAGGGTAGAGGGGCTGGAGACTGAGCTAATCAATGGCCAAGGAAGGATGTAATCAATCACACCTATGTAATGAAGCCTCCATAAAAACTCCTACAGTATAGGGTTTGGAGAACTGCCACGCTGGAAAACACAAGCACGGGCTGGGAGGGTGGCACACCTCAACACCATGAGGACAGAAGCTCTTCCACTCAGGACCCTTCCAGGCCTCGCTCTCACATACCTCTTCATGCGCCTACACATCTGTATGTATCCTTTGTTATATCCTTTACAACAAACTTTCCTTGAGTTTTGTGAGCCGTTCTAGCAAATTACAGAAAGGGGAAGCAGGGTGTGTGGGAGCCTCTGACTTTGTAGTCAGGTTGGACAGAAGTATGGGTACCCTGGGGACCCAGTGCTTGTGACTCAAGTGTGAAGTGAGGGCAGTGTTGTGGGACTGGGCCTTTGCACCCATGGAATCTGACATTAACTCCAGCAGTTACCGTCAGAGTTGAGTTTCATTATAAGATAATAAGTTAGTATCCAGAGAGTTGGAAAATTGGGTGGCGTGGTTCTTCTGGACACAAAGTTCTTGGCTTAGTCTTTCCTTGATAATCCTAAATATGTCACTCCATTTTCTTCTGAGATAAAGCACTGCTGTAGGGAAGTCTGAAGATATTCTAATTTTCCTTCCCTTGTAAGTCATGTGCTTCCTTTTTCTACATACCCAAATAATTTTTTGTTTTACTAACATTTATCTTAGTGCTGGTTTCTCCAGGCTGATATTCTCGAGCACATGATAATCCTCTTTCAAACACAGTTTCAAATCCTTTATTTCCAGGAAGTTGTCTTCAACTAGTCTTTACCGTTTGTTCTCTTCCCTTGCTTTGGTTTCCTTCTTTAGGGACTCCAACTATATTTAATTTCCTTTGCCTCAATATTGGTCACTTTTTCTCAAATCCTTATTATCTCTTGTTAATTTTGTTTTCATTCCTGAAATCTTCCTCTTTTCACCTTCTGTTTCTCTTCCAATAGCATCTCTTGTGCTGCTTCTAGTTTGGTCTCCATTTCTGAAGTGACTTTTTTTTTCTTTCTCCTTCTTTCCTGAGTTCTGGCGCCTTGTTTCCAAGGCTTTAAATTTCTGACTGTGTTGGTCTTCCATGACTTGTGTCATTTTCTTAGTATTTTTTTAGCTTGTTTTGAAATTGCAGGTTACCAGGGCACCATCATTCTTCACAGGGGTGTTATTCAGCTCTTTCTTCTCCTTTTTCTAATAATAACTTTGTGTGGGATTTGACCTTGCCCGATACTTCCTGTTGCTCATTTTTATGTGAGTCTTGCTTCCTGGGATTTCCAGCCTCTGCTCTCCACCCCCACGTTGGTCTGGACCTTCTCCTTCTTTTGTGTCTGTGTGGCTGCCCTGCTCAATTTGGATTCCACTCCAAGTCATTTCTCCTCAGTGTGGGCATTTGTCACAAGTGGAAGCCTTGTTGGGCCAGCTTTTAAATAGCTGCTACGAAGATCATCATCCTCTTACCAACTGACTACCTTTCCTGAATAAATATTTTCTAAATATTTCTAAAGAAATGCATCTAACGGAGGCTGTGTTCCGAACACAATCTCTCTTGAGTATGCTAAATCTTAATTCCTGAAATTTTCCCACCTCTCCTCAACCATTGGGTTTTCCCTCTCTTCTCTAAAAATGCAGGGGCCCTTCCCATCCTAAACACAGCCTTCAGCTGACATGCTCCTCCAGGTTTCTCTCTCCTTCACAGTAAAACTCTCCCCTCTTCTAAGCCTCCAATCAGGCTTTTGTCTCCACCACTCCAATGAAACTGTTTTTCAAGGTCATCTTTGTCAAATCCAATCACTTCTCTGTCCCAGTCTTTCTCAGTCTCTCAGAAGCAACTCAAACAGCAGAATGCTCCCTCCTCGAGAAATGTTTTCTTGGCTGTTAGGACACCAACCTCCTCTTGCTTCTTCACTTTTACTACACCTTTAAATGTCACAGCATGGCAAGGCTTGGTCCCAGGTCTTCTGCCTGCTCTAGCTACACATTCTAAGATATTTCATCCAGTCCCAGGGATTTCAGTGCTATCTATATTCAAATTCTCCCAGAGCTGATGGATCCCTCCTCTGAGATCCAGACCCATGGATTCATCTGCCTCCTTGGAAATCCACTAAACCCCTCACACTTAACAAGACCAAAACCTGATTTACTTTTCCTCCAAAAAAAAAAAATCCCTGCTCGGCGGGGAGCCTGCTTCTCCCTCTCCCTCTGCCTGCCTCTCTGCCTACTTGTGTTCTCTCTCTCTGTCAAATAAATAAATAGAATCTTAAAAAAAAAAAAAAGGAATTACTCTGTGTGTAATAGTCTTAACCTCCACTGAAGGAAGAAGATACCAGGCACACTCACAGAATTTCCTGGAATACAGCTGGCTGCCCTTACGCAAGTCATACTATCACTCACTACATCCCCTTTTCCTCTCAACAGAGGAAAGTTGGAAGAAAATGGTTGCTCAACCCCCAGCTAGCCTTAATTCCACGTGTTAACATGTGCCTCAGCACCCATGCAGACCACGAACCGTGGAACAGTGACGTTCCATGCCCATATGGTTTGGTGAGAATGAAGGTGGGAAGAGAGAAGGTAGTAAGGAAACCAAGAGCCTTTGAAAAACTGTATGTCTGGACAGGCTCTACCTCCCTCTTTAGGAATACGCAAACTATTCACCTTCTTGGAATCTTGGTTCTCTCATTCATGTAAGAGGGCTAATAATTTCTGCGGATTTTAGGGTTATTGTTGTGACGAAATAAAATACAATTCGTGAAGGTATAAGATGTCAAACGGCCAGGAAATGCATGGTCAGGGAATTTTTACTATTAACTAGAAAATAATGATCCTAGTAACAAATGATTTTCTTCTCAAGTAGCCACACAAGAAGTGTAAAAAAAAAAATTATCTTGGGTTGAGCTGAGAGGTGGTAACTAGAAATATTAGGCAAAGGTCAGATGTTTGAGCAAAGCTAAGCAAACCTGGTTAGGACACAACGTACTTTTAAGTTGTCTCACGTTCTGATATTGCCTGGTGATTAGCCTCTTGAAAATAATTTAACTGAGGATGTCAATGTGACAAAAAGGAGGGATAGGAAAGGCAGTGGAGAAGCCCCGGAGAGGAGCTCAGGACTGACTGGCAGAATGGCGGCTCAGAAATCCTAGGTTCCCTTGGAGGCAGGGGCAGCTCACTTAAGCAGCGGTAAAACCCCCTGGGGCAAGCGAGGCCGCAACCTCAAGGAAATAAATCAGCAGTGACTCTAGAGCTGAAAGTGCTGCTGCAGAATGGAATAAGAGAAGACATATTAAATGTTAGGGGAAGAATCACTGACCCCCCGGGTTTGAGGGGAAAAGAGGAAATGGGATGCCTCTGGTTATTTGACTCTCTGTCCCCCCGAGGTATCTTCTTGCAGCACCAGAAGGGAAGCCAAAAGAAAACCCAATACACTTTAGCTGTTTTAACCCATGGGTCCTGACCAAAGGTTGGCTACGGGGACCTTCAGGGATTCAGAGCCACTTGCACGTAAATAAGCTGGCTAACTAAGGACTGAGGGCTGTGAACACACAATGGACAAGGCCGACAAGGGACCTGGTCACGTGGAATGGTCTGTAGGTACTCCTCACCTCAGCTCTTCCTAGCCTTTGCTCATGCGTGATCTCCTGAGTTTCTTTTTTGCTCTTGGATCACAATCCTTCTTGCCTTACCCCAAACCTGCACCCTTCCCCTTATGACCACAAGTCTTGTGGCTAAACCTCACCAAAAGAAAGGCAATGCATAGTTTTTAATTGTAAATCTATTAAGTAAAACCACAGCATTTATTTATCGCAGCTTATCATTAATTGTATCAGAGACAACCTGCCTTACTCTTGACTGCCCCCTCCCAAACCTACTTCATCATATCACCTGTCATCAGATCTATCAGGAGGAAGAAAGGGAAACTCTAGTCACAATTTCTGTGTTTTGTTAAAACTGTCTAAGAACTCTCTTGATGAATCAGATATTAGATCTGATTACTGTAATCTTTAAATCAACCTAAATCATTAAAGTCTAGGGTGAGAACAGAGAAGAAATCAGAACTCTTGGTGACCTTAGTCAATTAATTACTGATTACTTTTTAAGAAAAATATCTGGCTAAAAGGTATCTTTTTACGGAATTGTGTTTTAAACTGAGATACCATTTATTTTGTCCTGCTTCATTCTGTTCCAAGAAAGCATTTAATGTGGCCAGTTGTCTCAATATTATGAATTTAAAAATATGTTGCTAGATACCATTATCCAAAGGAGCTGTGTAGGCGCAGGGGAAAACAGAGGCTATGGAAACAGAAAGCTGAAAGGAAGCATAGGGCACTGTGAAGGGTCAAGGACGCAGTAAAAGCAATGAAAAGACCCAAGATGCAGTAGCAGACTGCAAGTGTATTTCTTTTACCCTGACCATCTGGACCTTTGCTTTCATTCTGATTACTAGTATCTGTTAAATAGAAAACCACAGGACCTAAATGGGGTCACTCGGGCCAAGTCACCAAACCCGGGGCTTAACACCCAAGCTAAGGGCAGTCAACCTCCCCCAGCAACATTGCCTTAAGCAGTAAGTCAGGAATTCTGAGATCAGCACCAGGGAGGTCATCTGTCCCAGGGGCCCTCTCCATCCCCCAAAGGAAGATGAGGTAATTGACCTGAGAAGACCCCCCCCCCCCCCCCCCCGCCTTCCACTCCAGGGAAAGTGATCTCGCCAGGTACAGTCCTTTCTTTTCTCTTGCTAACAACTTTCTTGCCCCACCCTCCTTCCTGTAAAATCCTTCCATTTCAGACAACTCTGAGCTCCTCTCTGCTTGCTCCAAGGGATGCTGCCCGACTCAGGAACCACTTAATAAAGTCAATTACAACTTCAAATTTACTCAGGTGAACTTTTGTTCTTCAACACATGCTAGGGCTCGAATGTGAACATGGTCTTCTCCTCCAGCATTATCTGCCTGCAGAGGACCAGGACCATCATTTTTTGAACAGAACTGCCTCCTAGAATATCACAAGGCTACAAACTGCAGAGGGGAAAAGGGGAAAAATTATTTTTAAGATCTACTGAAATATAGGAACCAAGTCCTTTTCAGACTTACCAAAGGCTGGTGCACTAGAAATAGCAACGGGTTGCTGTTTCATGACAGGGGGAAGTGCAGAAGGGAGTTGATATCCTTGCAGCTTGAGTTTGATGAGTTTCATAGCTATGGAAAACTCTACTTGATCCATTCGTCCATCATTGTTCATATCAGCTAGTGCCCTGCAAACCAACATCGAGGGCAAGGAATGACTCTGACCATAAAAGAACCTTTCCTAAACCACCCCTCCCACCCACACTTGTCAGCTCCCTTTATCCCTGGGGCAAACAAGAGAAGAAAACCAGGCAGACCAAACCAAACCAAAACTTGTTTCCCAAGCTATAGGGAGTAACCTGGGAATACTGACAAGGTTTTGTATAAAAGTAAAATACTTTCTATTGTGTTATTCTTTACTTATAGGATACATGAAGTAATTTTCAGTCTGAATGCCAGGATATGTACTTTGGATATCAAATGGGATTCTTTTTGAGGTGGGGAAAAATGTTCTAAAGTTGGATAGTGCCCATGATTGCACGACTCTGTGAACACACTAAAAACCACTGAATTATACATTTAAAAAGGGTGAGTTTTATTGTGTGAATTACGTCACAATAAAGATGTTAGGGGAAGGGGCACCTGGCTGGCTCAGGGTCATGATTCAAGCCCCATGTTTACCCTAAAAAGATATTAGGGGGAAAAGGGTATGAAAAGAGAGTTTATTTCTATGGAGAGTTGACTAGATGGCACCAACTCCTCTGTGGGGTTCCACGAACCTCACCATGGAGACTATGCTACAATATAGTTCTACTACCTTTAAAGCTGTGAACATTAATTAAATGAGCTTACACATGTAAAAACGGTACTCAGGCATAAATGGTCAAGTGTAACTTGCAATGACTGTTTTCCTCCCCAGGTTTTAATTTTTATTTTTTCTTTCTTTTTTTTTTTTAATTGAAGTAGATTTGACAATGTTATGTTAGTTTCAGGTGCAATGAGCTTTAAGCATATTCTCTCAAAGAACCTTAATAAGCAAAAGAAAAGGTTTTTACAAGTGGAAATGACTTTATGCAAACTACAACTGTGCATATTCACAATTAATCTTTTTAATTTAATTAACACGTATTATTTGTTTCAGGGGTACAGGTCTGTGATTCACGGTCTTACACAAAACCCAGTGCTCACCACAACACACACCCTCCCCAGTGTCCATCCCCCAGCCACCCCATTCTCCCACCCTACTCCCCTCCAGCAGCCCTCAGTTTGTTTCCTAAGATTAGGAGTCTCTTATGGTTTGTCTCCCTCTCTGGTTTTGTCTTGCTTCATTTTTCAACTCTTCTGCATGAAAAATGTTCATCCCTTGGGGCGCCTGGGTGGCTCAGTCAGTTAAGTGTCTACCTTTGGCTCAAGTCATGAAACCAGGGCCCTGGGATCAAGCGTCACACTGGGCTCCCTGCTCAGCAGGAAGCCTGCTTCTCCCTCACCTCCCTGTTCCTGCTCTCTCTCGCTATCTGTCTCTCTCTCTCAAATAAATAAAATCTTAAAAAAAAATGTTCATCCAGATTTCATTTTTTAATCTAGATATTAAAAATGTTAAAATGATCTTTCTTAAACTGATCTAGTTTATTTGAAACAACAAATGACAAGACCAGCTACTCCAATTAAGTTACGATGACTAGCCATCTTTTAAACGAGCCATATCTAGGTAGTGTCCAAAAAAGACAATTAAGTTTGATAGAAAATTATCCTATATTGCCAGAGTTAACTCAAGGAAAGAAAACATAAAACACAATGAAAAGCATGACATACAAAAAATATTAAAAATCTCTAAAAGTTGTAAGAGTCAACACTATTCTTTTAAAAAGTAAAAAAAAAAGGGGTGCCTAGGTGGCTCAGTTGGTTAAGCACCTGCCTTCAGCTCAGGTCATGATCCCAGGGTCCTGGGATCAAGCACCAAGGCATTCTCCCTCTCCCTCTGCCTCTGCCTGCCATTCCCCCTGCTTGTGCTCTGTCAAATAAATAAACAAATAAAATCTTAAAAAAAAAAAAGGTAAGAAAAACTCATAAAGTGGGAGATGGGCTACAGAAACCACATTTGTGCCTCAGGTAGGTGCAGACCTCGGCTCTCCTGCAGTCAAAGATCCCCTTCAGCAAACCCCACCAGTGGAGTCCGAATTCCATTCACCAATAGTGAGCCTGAGGGTCATTCCGCATATGGATCTTGGTCACTTGAATTCGTACATGAACCGCTCATTCACATCCTTTGTTAATAAGTTTTCCGATGGACTACATGTCTTTTTCTTGTCAGTTTATAAAAGATCATTGTATGTTACATATCCACTGTTTATCTGTCAATTGTTGATTTTTTTAAATTTATCATTGGTCCGTTTGTGTATAATATCTTTACTGTAAGAAATTCTACATTTTTATACCATATGATTTCACTTACACATGGAATCCAAAAAACAAAACGAACAAACAAAATGGAAACAGACTCATAAATGTCAAGGCACCGTTACACACTTGAAATTAATATAATACAACTTTTATTAACTAATCTAGCCTCTTCTCGCGGAACTAAAAAATACTTTTGCTGTATATTATGTTCATGTGAAGTGATACCTATTTCTGGATTATCTACTCTGAACAATTCCCAGTTCAATACGACAGTGATCTGATCATACTGACTCCATGGTACAGTCTGGTATCTGGTAAGACTTTTCCTTTCTTGGGGCGCCTGGGTGGCTCAGCTGGTTAAGCGTCTGACTCGTGGTTTTGGCTCAGGTCATGAGCTCTGGGTCATGAGATGACGTGCCACGAAGGCTCCCTGCTCAGGGCGGCGTTGCTTGTGTCCCGCTCCCTCTGCCCCTCCCCCACTCGCTCACTCTCTGCCTCTCTCAGATAAATAAATAAATAAATAAGTAAGTAAAATCTAAAAAAAAACTTATTTTCTTGAATTTTGTTCGGCTATTCACAGATGTTAGTTTTCTTCCCTATGAATTTTAAAGATCATTTATCTATTCTACAAACAACCCTACTGGGATCCAAGCTGCAACGGCATTAAAGAGCCCACTGAAGACAAATAGTTTGTCTGTCTATCTGTTCAAAATTTACAGATATTTCCTTTAATAAGGTTAGATAACTTTGGGGGCACCTGAGTGGCTAAGTCACTTAAGAGTCAGTTAAGCACCAGACTCTTGCTTTCGTCTCAGGTCGCGATCTCGGGGTCATGGGATCAAGCCCCCGTGTGGGGCTCCCCACTTAGCAGGGAGTCTGCTTGAGATTCTCTCTCTCAATCTCCCTCTGCCCCTGCCACCCCACTCTCTCTCTTTCTCTAAAATAAATGAAAAATAAATCTGTTTTTAAGAAGGATTGATCACTTTTTTTACGTAATTACTTTTCTTTTTTTAAAAGATTTTATTGATTGACTGACTGAGAGAGAGAGAAAGAGAATACAAACAGGGGAAGGGGCAGAGACAGAAGGAGAACAGGCTCCACACTGAACCCGGAGCCCGATGTAGGGTTCAATCCCATGACCCTGAGATCATGAACTGACCTGAAATCAAGAGTCAGATGTTTATTACCAACCAAGCCACCCAGGCGCCCCAGTTACTTTTCTTATTAAATGCATTCTTGGGAGTTTTATCATTTCCATCACTATTTTATTTTATTTTACTTACTTATTTATTTATTTATTTTCATCACTATTTTAAATGGAACATTTCCCCGTTTCCATATTTCGGTGCTTATTTCCAGCACAGAGAAAAATTTTGCTTTTAACAATCATTTATGCTATATTCAGCTATCTTACCAACCTTCTATAGATATTATTTTTTAACCTAAAATCTCTTAAGTTTGTTAAGTATACTATTACATAACTAGCAAAAAAGAGTTAACTTTCGTTTCCAATATTTATACACTTCCTCTTTTTTATTGGTCTTACTGCCTCTAAGACATCATTGAAGGTGTGAGCATCCTGCTAAGTTCTGGATTTCAATGAAAGGGCTGCAGTGTTTCACTGTTTAGACTAATATTTGGTAGTGATCTTTAGAAAATAACCTAACATATTTAAAAAGTTTCCTTTCTACATATTAGAAATGGTTAATATATATATATTTTTTTTTAATCAAATGCCTACTCAGCATCTGCTGATCTGATCACACTTCCTTTTATCTATTGCTGTAATATTGAGAGAACGCCTTGATTCTGAACCAAACTTGCACCCCTGGCATAAACTCAAGTTGGTCATAATTCTGAATACATTGTGGAATTCTATTTGCTAAGATTTTGTTTTGATTTTTGCATCTATATTCATAACTGAGACTGGCCTCTGGTAGTTTTATTTTTGTAACTATCTTTCAGGTTTTATAAAGGAAGTTAAATAAGTAAAACCAGAGGGTCAACTTTCCTTCTTTTCCTAAGTTTTTCTAAAAAGATATTCAGCTCTATCAGATGATTCTCAGGGAAGAAAAAACATGCCAACAATCAACATCAACAGGCATACTTAAAAAAAAAAAAATCAAGCAGAGAGATTCCCACTCCCTATTCCCAACATCACAGCCCCCCAAAACATATTTTCTAATGAGAAACAAATATCCAATGTGGGATAATGACTAGTTGGGGGAGAAGAGACTTTCTAGACCTGTAAGAGTTTAATTAGAACAATTTCATGTTTCTAAAAACCTTCCACTCAAGTGCCTCAGTGAGAGAGGTGAGGAGACAGATAATTCTCAAGTTCCAGGTGCTTGACTTTAAGCCACCCACCACAATCCCACATTTTTTTTTTTTTGAGAATTTTGCGTGATCTTTCTTAAAACCTTTTTTTCCTCAACTAACAGAACGTAACTGTTGGGACTCATTGATAGTGATAACTCAAAGGACTTTATACAAATACAGTAGTAACTGCTACAACGCTCAGCTTTCTCCCCACTCCCCTCTCCCAATGAAAAAGCTGGAACTCTGGAGGAGCTGAAATTCTATTTCTCTAGGTTTCTCTGCAAAAAAACAACCTCAGCTCTGCCATCCACTTTCATCTCCCATCTATAGTTTACTCATGTCTAATAATCCCCCTGAAAGATTAACTAAAAGGCTAGGAATCCTAAAATTAAATTCACAAAACTTCCAAAGTAAAAAAATACATATGCAAAAACAAGCTTAAGTCAAAACAATTACTGTATATGACTCT